CGCCGCCGCCGCCGACAAGAAGAAGAAGGACGCGGGCGGCGGCGGCGGCGGCAGCGGGGGCGGTGGCGGAGGTGCCGCGCGGCACAAAGTGAAGCCCAAAGCCCAGCTGACGGCCACGCCCCGCAGGGCTCACCCGCAGCCCGTCACCCGCACCAAGGTGAGAGACCTTCCGCGTGGACACGATATGTCGTCTTGCGTGCGCGTAGAACGGGCTGGGGCAGGTGTAGCGAACGTTGTTGGATCTGGGGAGTTTTTGGGTGGAAAATGTTCGTGCTATCGCTGGGGTCACTTACTGCTTTCTACTCTTTCCACGCCCCCTGTTCTCATCCCCATCCTCTCCGCCGGTCCCGGTCGCATATCTCTATTTTTTGCCTACCCCGTTCTTCTCTTTCCCTGTCCCCAACTCAGTCCCCTGTCACTGTCCTTCTCTCGCTTTCCCTTGCTCTCTCCCTTTTCCCTGCCCCCATGCCCCTATATTGCCAACTTCAGCGACGTTTAATACTAATATAAATAAAAGCGATATATATATATATATATATATATATATATATATATATATATAGTGAGGTTCAGTAGCATCAGTCTTTCCTCAGGGCAGTGTTCAGAAACCAATTGTGAAAATACTTAATAGAAAGCGATTTCGAATGTGAGTTAAATGAATTTTGCAAAGAATGAGATTGAAAATGATATTTGTAATAAGAGTGCAAGTGATCAGGAAGACCTGCCCCTTCCCCTCTCCCATTTCCCTGTCTCGTTTTCCACACCGTCTTCCCTCCTCCCTTCGCCTTATTCCTCTTCGTCTGCCTCCTTCATAGTTTTTTTGCCCTGTGCCCTTTCCTCTGTGGAGCTCAAGGCCCAGCTGACAGCCCCCCCGTAGGGGTCAGCCGCAATTCATCACCCGCACGAAGGTGAGAGCGTGGAAGGGCAACCGTCATACGAATATGTCTCCCAGCCGCTGGAGCGTACGTGGAACGGGCTAGTAAAGATTTGCTGAACGAGTTGGCTTCAAGCCGTCGTGGCATGGAGAATTATGGCCGCGGGTGACATCGCGGGAGTCACCTCCTCAACTCTCCCACCGATCCCCTGTTCTCATTCCCATCCCGTGTACTGTCCCGGGCCCCCTTCATCTTATTCGTTTCTCCCACCGCCTTCATCGTCCCTTCTTTGTTCCCCTCGACTGTTCCCATTTCCCTGCGACCTTATTCTGTCTCGATCACCGCCCCTTCACCTCTTATCTTTGCCTTTCCCCTTTTATTGTTATTCTTCTATGCCCCTTTCCCTTTTCTCTGCCACTTCCCTCTTCTTTTCCCTCGTCTCTTTCACCGGCCCTTCCCCCTCACGCGTAGCCCTTTTCGCTGTCCTCTTCCACGGTCTCCCTCTCGGTCCCTTCCCATTCACGTGTTCCTTTCGTCTGTCCTAGTTTTCTTATTCCTTTCCCCTCTTCTTTTTCCGTGACAAGTTGTCTCTTCCGTTTCCCTACATCGTTCACTGCTCCTTCCTTTGTCCCTTTCTCGGGCCCCATTCCCTTCTCATGTTTCCTTGTCCCCTCCTCCTGTCTTCCCTTCCTCTCCCCCTCTTCCTGCTCTCTATATCTGCCCGAGCTCCCGCATCTGATACAGGCCCCAGTTTGGACAGGTCAGATGTAACAGGTAGTGACCTATCGTAAAGAGAGGATGTGACAGGAATGTGTATGCTATTTGATGTGAGTAGTGATGGGCGTGTACATAATTTGAGGTGAAGATCGTCGGGAACGAACGCGGATGCTTTGGTAACGGTCCTTAGGAAAATATTTTGAAAGATCTGGAGTATACGGGTCTCAGTATTGACGACTGTGCGTGCAATCTTGAAGTAAACGCCGGAGCCCCAGTGAAAGCAAGTGCTGAGGAGCTTTCGTTACCGCAGAAGGCGCTCATGATCGTTTCACATAATATCCAGTGTTTAATCTACGACGCGCGTTGCTTAACGCGCGTCAAAGCAACGCCCATGCGAAACGAGTCTGAGTGCAAAAAGCGCACGTTGCCGCAGATGGCGCCCAAGATCGTTCCGCATGAGATCCAGTATTTAATCTTCGACGCGCGTCATCGCAACGCTCATGTGCGCGTGCCTGAGTACTAAGGAGCGCTCGCCGCAGGTAGCGCCCAAGATCGTTGCGCATGGGATCATGACTTTGATCTACGACGCGCGTCAACGCAACGTTCGTGTGAAAAAGTGTATATTTACGACGCGCTCGCTCATGTGACGCGAGTCTGACTATCAAGAAGCGCTCGTTGACACAGGTAGCACCCAAGATCGTTTCGCATGGGAACATGTCTTTGGTCTACGACGCGCGTCAACGCAACGTTCGT